TCATAAAGTTCTATTTTATTTTTTGAGCTCATACAGACCTAGGTTAATGTTTTTCTGATAAGTTTTATTTTTTGACTGTGGAGTTTTTAAACATTGCAATGGAGATTTCACCTGTGTAAAGCTACAAGGCCTTTACTATTGTCTTACGTGTTGTATGTTTGTGTGCACACTTGTGCTTTGTGTTGTATGTCTGTGTGTGCGTATGTCCATATATCATATATGAGGAGCGCTCATGAAAAAATGGTTCCGAATTTTTTTTTATTCACATGATTTAAATGGTTTAATTTAAATTGGGTAAACAGCTGTTGAGGATTGTTTTAATATGTGTACAAATAAGGAGGTTAACAGATCTATTTGTTTACTTTCACCTTTCCTTTTAATTATATTTAATAATGAATAAATATATTTAATATATTTCAACATATTTAATAATTCTGTTCAGTATAATGTAAATTGTTCAGAAAATTGTTTTCTTAGTACCTGTTGGAATGTTACATATTTTTTTTTAGCCATCATTGCCAGAATTCCTATCTTCATCCCAGTGCCGGTGAAGACAAAGATAAAACCAAACTACAGCTTCTTCGATAGTTATCACAACAAACTGTATAAACTGATGCATCAATGAATAATAACTCAACAAGTAATACTCAATCAAGGAGTCGATTTACTTTGGGAGGAAATGGACATATTGATAGATTCCTTTGCTTTGAACTGCTTGCAGAACTTGCCTGGACTATGTATCACTTGTATGCATTGTGAACTATCTGTTGGTGCAGTGAATTGTGGTAATGCTGGAGTATCTTTGCTGCTGGCGTCACCAGTGGTACAATTTTTCAAAGGAGCTGTCGTGGCATTTCTGTATCCTCCTCCCTTCTGCTAGTGATGGTCTAAAATTTGGAGGCCAACAGAGGTGAGGCAAAGAACCTCACCCCCCGCAATGGTGCATAGGCCTATCCACAAGTATGGCTGTATGCTGAACTGGTAGTCACTGACAGGTATGATCCAATTGCAGTGGTACCAACCTAAGACAGGAGGCTGACGCCTAGAGGTCAGCTCATCTGATGACGGGTAAGGACCATATGTTGTATTGGACAACGTAATAGGCACGGTCCCTAAGCCACATTGCTTGTTGTTTATTAAACAGAAGGGGGGAGATGCTGAGAGCCATAGCCAAGTAGGAATGAGGCATGGCATTTTTGGTTGAAAGGTGTCGCCAGCAAGCCATTGAGATGATAATGATTATGTTAAGATGCGTATTCAATTGGAGATTAGACCCCTGCTGTCCGCCTGGGCCTGCTACTTTGGAGCTCTTGTGGGACTCCTGGAGAGTTCCCATTGGTTGGGGAAGTGCGGTAGGAGGAAATTCTGGAGGAGGGCTGCCAACCCCCTAATTGAAGTTCTTATTGCTTTTGCTGATATTATTTTCATAGTGTACCAATTAATTCTTTAACCCCAGCATCTCTCCCCTTTCAATTTTTTCTACACACCAGTATCATGGTAATTTTCCTAAGAATACCATGCTGGGAAACTTTCAATAGTTGTTCTTTCAGAAAAGTTCTCAAAATTTACCTGGCATTAATCACCTCAGAAACTTGCTCGAAGTATAGATTACCAGCCACTATCCTCTCCCCTAAAATTACATCTTTATTAAGCACCCCAAATTTTTCCCAATAAAACAAACATCACTCTTGAATATGAAACAATCCAAAGTCTCAACTCTACCTTGTTCTGTAAACTTGGATAAGGATAATCTATCAGTTTCATCATTTGAAAGTAAAGGTTTGAATAAAGTAATCCACATGTTCTTTTCTTTTTACATTAACATTTAATTAACACTTTTAGTAGCACAATTACATATTTATCTATTTTATTGATGCATGGCAATTATATATAATAGTGGGATTCATTGTAACATATTCATAATGCACACAATATAACACTATAATATGGTCAATTCAATTCCCCAGTATTTCCTCTCTCCCTCCTTTCTCCTATGTCCACCTGAACCCCTTCCTCTACCCTATTAGTCTCCCTTCTATTTTCATTAGAAGCCCTCCTTCCCTTTTTTTTTCTCTCTAGTTTCCTCACATGACCCTTAATTTGGCTTATTTTGCTTAATATAATACTCTCAAGCTCCATCAATTATCCTGCAAATGGGATATAATTTCATTCTTATTTATGGATAAATAAAATTCCATTTTACATATATGTAAATTCATAGATTTTTATGTATGAATACACATACACACACATAAATGAATAGTTGTTCATTCATTGATCAATATCTAAGCTGTTTCCAAAATTTGGCTATTGTGAATTATGCTTTTATAAACATGGGTATGCATGTATTGCTATAGAATGCTGACTTTAGTTCTTTAGGATAAATACTGTGGAATGGTATAACTTGGTTATATGGTGGTTCCATTCCTAATCTTTTTGAGGAATGATTTCCATACTAATTTTTTGTTTTTGTTCCACAAGTTCTTTCACTTCTAGTTCTAGAAATTTCACCTCATTTACAGGTGTGCTTTTATTCTGGTAGAGTATTACATGTGTATAGTTAACACATAACATGGTATGCTCATGAGTACCATTCATGGCATAGAAGAATCCTATCCTTTACATGCATAACCTTGCTTCATTATCCTCAGCTCCCTACTGTCAGTCTTTATTGGTGTCTGCATCTCCCAGCAATGCATAACCTCCCAGTTCTAATCACAACTGGTCACCTTTTCAATCCTGACTTCAGGCTTTGCTCTCCCTCTGAGACTGGCTTCTTTATGGAGAGTCTCAGGAACTCCTATTCTTACAAACTGTTCACCTAACAACTCCCTCTAAAAATGCTCCTGCCCTTTGGGGAGATTTAGATCCTATTTTTCCCTTATTCTATTATTCTAAGCCTGACATTCATGAACCAAAATTTAAATCAAATTTATATTGAATAGCTTATCCATATTTGAAATCCTTATTTTACTGTCTTACCCTTCTTTTCTGACTACTAAAATTCAGCATGGCCTAATTCACAATGTAAAGCATGTCCTAACTATGACTCCAAATAAAGCTAATTTCTGCTTCTGATTTCTATGATATGACTGTTTTTTACAAGAATTACTTGCCAGGAAACATTTTTTGATTTGCATTTTTCTAACTGATTAGCAATACTGATTAGCAAAACAAAGGGACTACCTCTAGAAATTAATCATATATTTTATAAGCATAAACTATTTATAAACTACAGACAGACTGAAAACACCAATTATTTGTTTTTATTTTGTATTCCTCTCCTTGGTACAGCACTTTGCATATAATAGAAAATCAACAAATACTTGCATATCATCTGGCAAAGTTTATTTCTCTCCTTTTGATGTTCTGGGGGAAAGCTGATATGGCTTGAAATCTCCAGAAAGAAATCCTAACATTCCTTCTCTATCACTGTTAGCATTACCATTAGCATATTAGGTACAAACTTAAGAGATTTTCTAAAGTCTCCTTTGCCTTTCCACCCATCATTAAGTTAATTGATAAATTCTGTCTCTCAGTCAGTCATAAAACAATCAAACTTCAAACAGTTATTAGCTGCCCAACCTATTTCCTTCTATATGAAAACTGTCTCAAAAATACAGCTCAGTGAAATGTCTCCTACTTCAGTTGAATTTAATCTTTTTGAAATATTAATATTTCAAAAATAGATACCCCAAATATATGAAATATATTGCATATGTAGTGATTAATTCATCCTCCATTAATTAATTTTATTTATTCATTCACTAAAAGAAAATTGAACAATCATTATATATAATCAATTCTAAAATTAAGATGTTAATTGATCTTATCACATGTGTATAGTTAACACAGTAAATTTTTTATCTGATTGTCAAAATCATAATTTGTCCAAGCCCCTTAACAATTTTACCTTTCAGTATCTCCTCCATACAGTGGGTTAATGAAGTAAAATCTGCTGCAATCCTATTCAACTGTACACTAAATTCTTGAGATTTATAGTTCTATGTGTTTTAACTCTTCAAAATATATAAATATAATTAAATCATTTCATTAAAAAGTTCATTCTTTATAGAATATTGAAACAAGAGAATTCATAAATTTAACTAAAATCTCTTGAGTTGCAACTTATAAGTTCTTAACATGTATGTGTGTGTATATATACATATACACACATACACAAACACACACACACACCCAAAGGAAGGATACCTGAAAACTGTGTATATATATATATATATATATATATATATATATATATATATA